AAGGCTGAGTGCTATGCCAAAGATGTCAAAAATGCCAAGTTCTTTAAATCTTCTACAGGCACAAATATAGCAGAATGAGGCAGGAAGATTTCAGAACCCTGTTGCAAAGGAAAAAAGAGAAAAGTAGGACAGGGGAAAAAGCACATTGTGGTCTAGAAGAGTATTTCAGTATTAGAGTATCTTCTGAAAACATTAAAAAAATTGAATGATTCACACTCACAAGAACTGGGAGTACGAGGAAGACTGGAAAGATAGAAGGAAAGTGGCTCTGTATTCATATGGAACAACTTCTATATTCTTCTCTGTGGACACCAGGTCTTGGTCTTACTGCTGCCCACTGAGAACAACAGGGTAACCAATGTAAGAACAGGATTTTTAACTTGAAGTAGGACTATAAGAGGCAATACAAATTTTAAACTGCAGATGATCTGAAAGATTTATCCAGAAATAGGGGTTTTTTTCTTTTTTTTTCTTCTTTTTTTTAGTCTTCATGTCAATCACATACCAGGAACATCTAAGCAACCAGACTCCCAACAGTAGAGTTTATTTGAACCAAGAAACTCAATGCTCTCACTCCAACTTTGTCTTCATGTAAGAGATATTAAGGAATTGTGTTTTTTGTGGTTTTTTTTTTTTCTCCTGCAGAACTGATTCAGGAAAGGACTGAAGCACATATTCAAGTCCCACTGACCTCCCCAAGATGTGAATGTATGACGTTTCATTAACACTATTATGTAATGGAAAAAGGACAATCATCTGGGAAACATGCAGAACTGGTTATGAAGCTGAAATCTGTAATGCCAATTTAAATCAGTGCCACATATGAGACAGGGCTTATCAGATCGGGTACAGCACCACAATAATGTGGTAATATTGTTTTTGGAAGCAGCTTGGTATCTGTTTCTTGCTGTATGTTCCATTGCAAAAAGAGTAGTCACATAAATGAATTTAGCAAGAGTTGAATGCCTGTTTAAAGTTAAGCACTCACTTGGTCTAGCAGGTCAACTAGTTCCAGGAAGGATCTTCAAAGTTTCCTTACAAATGTCAGTGCAATCACCAGGAGACTAAAATTTCATCAGTAGATATGACTAAGCAACTAATACATCTACAGCAATCTAACAGTCTAAGCCTGTCTCTGTTATTTTCTACTTCTTTAATCAGTGTCTAGAACAGTACAGCAAATACATCTGAACATCAAAGGTCATTATGATGTGGACTGCAAGGTACAAAATGGCCTGGAGGAAAAAGATTATGCTTTTTGAAGGCTGCTTTTGGTACTACAGAGAAAACTAGAGATAGGAAGGCATAATGAGAGCAATTATTTTGTGTGTCATTGTAATTTTATATTAAGCACAAAGTAATCATCACCACAGAAAGAGTCTCAGTCTAATTGAAAAAGATGTGACAGTTACCACACATTTTTAACTTTTTTGTTTGGTTTTACATTTTGGGAGGCTTCCTTTGCTATAAAAGAACACTTAAATAATGTGAGCTGTTTTATATCAATTGGGCTCCTCATTAATTTGAAGACAACACAGAGAAACACTTGTGCCTTTCCCTCCCTAGCGTCAAAACATGTATACAGCCACTTCAGGATCCATAAACTACATGAATCAATCTTGCCTATTTTTCTCTCAAGTGCTGACAAACTGTAACGAGGCAAGCCTCGGATCACTTTAAAGATATTTGAAATACTAGTCATAACCAAAACAGCAGATGAACGAGCCCAGTAACAGATGCAGCTAAGGCATCCCAAGTCCTCATTATGACTCCACCAGCCAAGGGGCTGGCAGCTGCCTGCTGCACAGTAAGGCAGCCAGCAAAGCCTGGCTCAGAGGTGTGCATCACCACCTTCTACTGACTGGACTCTCCTGTAGTGTATTACAGGTTTTTTGGAGACATGAGCCATGCACCATCCTTTTGAATATTTTTTCCACATTGTCAGTAATTGACAAGAACAGCCTGGAGAAATGTAAATCGCAGAAATGCTGTGGCTGCCTGCGAGGGTAGGGGCTTTCTCACCTGAGGCAGAACACTACTTCCCTGCCTGCACTGCCGGCAAGGTGCCCGTGAGGGGGCCAGAAGAAAGTGCTGATGAGGTGCTTATCGCCCACTTCTTCACTGAGAATTGAAGATGGAGAAGCTGCTGAACAAGGTTGCCTGAAAGTCCCACAGTAGCAGAGATTATATTCTTATACGTGCTACAATGCAGAAGACCTGACCTTAAACTAACACCATGTGAGAGAACTCCAGTTCCAAAGCAGTTCAGTCCCATTAGTGCACAAATGCACATGTGCTAATAACCTGCCTCTTAAATGACCTTATTCATACAGCACATCAGCTCAGTGTCGTCACACGGCATCCAGTCGCAGAGTGGCTTTCATCCTGCTTGGCCAAAATACAGGTGGATCTGGAGCAAAACACTTGGCTCCTTGCTTGAGCAAAACTGGTCTTTGTGGATTTCTACTTTATTAGTTTATTAGTTCCCACACTGGGAGTTTTTGAAGGAATCCCTCTTTGCTTTTTAGCCTAGGACAGAAACTCTAGTTCAGAAGCTCTTAGTAGGAGGAGAAAGGAAAAGCAGAACCATCAGGGAAAATGATTCCGCTGCTCAAAATGATCAGAAGTAAGAAAATACTCATGAGGAGAAACAGCTGCGAGTCAAGGAAAACAGAGAAACAAGGAGCGTCAGCCTCTTCTTAGCAGCCTACAAGAAAGGAAAACACTTCTCTACCGTTTGACTGAGCAGTCCATTGTCTCACTGTCTGAATAGCCTATTTATCCCTAGTATTCATAAAACTAAAAAAAAAAAAAAGCATACAAAAATAAATTGTTTTTCCTATGTCAACCTCATTTAATTATTGAAGAGTAGCTTGAATTGTTGATCTCCTAACGCTTCAGTGGGATTGGCAGCCAGTCTAGTCCAGTCAGGCTTGCCTGATTGTATGAGAAATAGAAAATAAAATTAGCATAGTCTAAGCCAGGGATAATCTAGGAAGTATTCACAATAATGAATAGAGTTGGGTGACAGGTTGCTTTAGCCGGGAGTTTCTGATACTCAGCCTTGTTACAATGTGTGTGGGCTAGTAAATATTCAGCAGAGTTTTAACAGGATATTCTAAGGAGATTTACAGTCAGCTCAGTCATGTCTATATCACCTCACTGACATGCTGTCTTTGCTTTTGCATATCTTACAAGAAACTTAATGTCAGCTTATATGGCAAGAAAGCAGACAATCATATATACATAAATCTGTGCATACTGAGATGTGTATGACAAAAATAGCTCGCCTTGTCTCCTGGGAGAATAATACCCAGCACTCTAACGTCCAGGCAACACTGCAGCCAATCCTACTATTGAACAAAAACTAGAATTATTTCTTTTTAATCACAAAAACTGGCTCAAAACAAGGATACAACTATTAATACTGTCTAGGATAACTGTAGGGATCTCCACCAAGGACAAAAATAGAACATCCATTAACTATTTAATCAAGTGCACACACATTCTTTTCCTTCCAAGGAATGCCAACATTTTAATGAAAGCTTTATATTGTCACTAAACTGGTAACTCTCACAGCATCATATAATCGCTCTGGTGCGCTGTCTCGCTGTTCAGTTACTTCTCTTCATTTCTTGCCCTCCTGCTCTAGTTTTGGAAAAAAGTGAAAGAAATGGGATGTGCTTGTTCACAGCTAACAAATAGTCACTTACTGTAGCAGCAAGTTTAATATTTTTACCTAGGGCGATAAAGCATATGAAGAAGAGTTACAAAATCAAACTGACAATGGACAAGCTACTATAATGCTGCTTTACAAGGCATCTTATCTGCCAAATCTACTTTTTCACTCCCTATGAGCTCACAGTAACACCTGCATTTGCCTCTCACTATCACAGCTTTTAGACTATGGCATGGTAACTGTCTAACCAAGAAGCACACCTCTATCAGCAGATGACTTTGCACGATATAATGGGCTTCTGAGGAGAGAACTGGAAAAACTCAAGTGCAATATGTTCAAGCACTGTCAAATTTTTCTTTCACAGAAAGGCAAAGCAATCAAATCATCCCTTCTCACTGATGAATTGTGAATAACGAAGGCTTAGTCAATGCCTACATTGCGCTCACAGGTGGTATTTTGACCATTCTCATATAAACTTACTCACATGCCAAGAGTAGTACAGCCAGGCAGCTTGGAGTTCAGGATTCCAGCTGGATCTGCGGTATATGCTGAAACCACAGAGCCACAGCTAAACATTGTTACTGATCCCTACACTAGCCAGTTTACTGCCTGTTTGGATGTGTTTACACTGGCTGTAGTCACATTTCATTACAGCATAGATACAACCTTTGAGAGAAGTAACTGGGCAATGTTACGAGTAGCTGACATTTATATATTAACATGAAGGCATACGTGTTTGACAATAACTCCTTACAGTACTTGTATGCAGGAAGAACTACAGTAATTTGCTAGTCTGAATAATGTGATCTCATTTCCTCATTTTTATTATGTAGTATTGATGTTATTTGCATCAGATTAAATAAAAAAACCCAGCACCTCCCTGATGCTGTCCTTTACTATTTCTTATATTTTCAAGTCATAGAGAGCAGAACATTCGGTGAACATATGAAAAACCTTCATTAGCATGACAGATACCAGATTCCAAATGGAAAATTACCAGGGTGTGGTCTGTAATACTAATAATGCATCTCTGATTCCAAAATACAGAACTAAGATCAATGAAAAAGTATCCTCTTACCTTGGGGTCTCATTTTCTCCGTATTAATGCCAAACCTGTAACACCTAATCAAAACACATTCCTGCTTTTCACCATTTCTTA